ATTTAATTTTTAAATTTTCAACTTCCATTTCGGGGTGTCATAGACCTTTTGAAATCGTTTAGAATTGAAAGTAAAACATCATACTATTTTGCACCAACCTATTATACTTTAACGTGGCCATCGTGATGTCATTCGAAGATTATTGTAATCACAACTTACGATAAATTGTTCCGTTACTCTAATAATAATGTTCTGTTACTCTAATATTGAAATCATTGCGTTTGTTTATCTCCGATGATCATAAACATTTTCGACAATAGCCAATTTCACTGCTAATCTAATGCGCGTGGGTATTATGCGATGTACACACACAGACAGACACACAGGAAGGCGTTAATCAATGCAATGGGTCATCAAATGTTTAAAAATATGCGAGCAATAAGCATAATCCGAATGAGACTGGCGGTTCAGACTGAATTGAAAGTAATACTTTGTTAGTTTTGTCAAAGCTCGCAGTTAAGTTACTCCACTATTCGGATAAAGTCACATTACAAATCTGATAAGTAACATTTTGATTTTGTAATTGTTTAAAGCGTTTCAACTTTAAGGTACATTGGCATAAGTTTGAAAGGATCCAAGATTACAAAGAATATTTCCATTTAAAATAGGCACATTCATATTGCGTCGTAGTAAAATGGTGACCTTACAACATTTGAGACCGAATTACATGGTTAAATTGTTGATTATTGTCGGAATAATTCAGTAAGTGGTATTACAGTGTTTCTGAATGTGATATTTACATTGATTAGATAATTTATATATTCTCAATGCTAGACATACGTATGCAAGTAGTTGTCCGGTTGTAAAACAAGAAAATGGATTTTTTGTGCCAAAATTACGGGATGGAGAAAATAGAGAAACAATAATACCGTCTATGAAGCCAGCCAAGCCGACCGACTTGAATGACATATCACTAACTGCGCGACCTATTCCATTAGTAGATGCATTAACATGTGCCGAATTTCTTATATCTCCGATTGTAACTGACCTCTTGAATCCACAGAAAATGAATTTGTCGGAGAACAGTATGTCAGTTATAACGAATACAAACGGCGGTGGAATACTTCAATTTGGCGCTTTAAAAATTGTGAAAAGTTTCCAAGCATTTCATGCATTACAAGTGATTAGCGAAATAACGCCTGGCGGTGCCGAGACACGAAAACCCGTTTCAGCATATTGGCTGCCGCAAGGAGGATACGTCGATATTCCGACCATACCCACAGATGATGATCCAAAATTTGTATTTACAGTGGCACTGAATGGCGGTAGCCTAGCCGCTGATGTACACAATTCGACGACGCTTCGGATTCATCATGTGGCCGGCGGCAAAGAGAATAATGAAAATGAAAACAAAGGTGATGAGGAACATGGTTATTTAAATGCATTCGGAATGGCCGGACGATTGTTGCATTCGGATTATGGTTTTCATGTGAACGTTGATACTTGTAAATATGTTGAAAATGGTAGAGCATTTGCTTTCATTAAGTTTGATAGTGAAATTCAACATTGGGTGCTTACATACCAAGCAATATTACATAATCCGGTGATCAATGAAATAAGCTTTGCCCAACGAAATAATTGGAAGGTCAAAACACAATTTTCGTCGACAACACGGATCGTTATGGTTGACAGCAAAATATTGGGAACGAACGCAGATCACAACGGAAAGACGGCGGAAAATCGATGCTTTTATGGAAAAATTTGAATACCGATTTTTATTTTCTTTATTATTATAGTTCATATTAATAAAAGAACGAGTAATTTTATGAATTTTAATAACTACAAGATCAATATTGCTATTTTAAATTAAATATTATCATTTCTAATGAAAATATATTTTGAGCCAATTTCATCCGTTTTAAATCACATTGAATTGAGTTTGTTATTTTATTTACTACTTTGAAAATAATATTGTAAGTATCATGGTAAATCATCCATTGTATCCTACGTTTTACATACGATTTTTTTTTCTTCTGAAATCCGAATTTAGGAGACAATTTTGAAAAATGCAGTACTATTTAAAAAAAAAGAAGCAAAAACAAACTGATCTTTCAATTTTTTTCAAATGTCTCAAAAGTCTCGCTAGAAAACCATGCGATTAAATCGAGAAGCTAGAAATTTTTATTCAATAGACGTTTAATTTCAAACAACGTAAAAAAACCATTTATCTTACGCTTCTTGCAATCGTTTTTTTTCTTTGTCTTCGTAAAATTATTGTTTTCTGTTGCAGTACGCAAAATTATTTATAGCTTTATAATGGTGACAAAATGATTTAAAAAAAATGAAACAACCATTAATCTGCATATCTGTTGTAAAAACTCATTACGAAAAATGAGCAAACAAATACACACAATAATGTCAAATTTGCAAGCGATTTCAAGACGTCCATGTCTCTATTAAGTCGTCCTCCGTCAATTGGCAATTGTTTTCGTTTATTCAGATGTTCAAAGAGAAAAAAAAATCCAATTAAATTAATCCAAGCCCTATTATCCAATAAAAAAAAATTATTCACATTCTCTGTTGATTCCACATGACGATTTTGCAAAATAAAACATTCATCATTCAATTAATTCATATGTGGAACAAAAAGGCAAAAATACTTGTACAATCACCCATACGTATTTTGATCGCTGTTGTGATAAGATCTTTGCAACACGTAAGGCCAACGGACCTTTTTCCTATTGTGAACTTGACGTTTTATTATCGTCTTTGTGTTGTTCGTTGACTTTGAAATACGGATACTAAATTGGAGTATCGTTCGATAGTGTGATATAAAAAAAATGAATGCAGAATCGAGTTTGGATGTGGTATTAACTGAAGTGGGAGAATTCGGTCTTTATCAAATAGTTACTTATTTTTTAATTTGCATTCCAAGTATTCTATCAGCAACGTATGTAGTTAATTACATGGTATCGGCAAACACACTGGAATATCGGTTGGCATCAAACTACACAGCTTAACGTATAAACATTTTTACATATGAAATTGTTTCTCTAATAGATGTAAAGTTCCCGAGTGTGATATCGGTGAAAATAATCGTGATATTACTTATGATCAAGCATGGGTGCGATCTGCCATTCCAACACTGTCCGATGGAAAACTCAAAAATTGTGTTCGCTACGCACCGGTCAGTGATGGAACGGGGATATTTTCCAACAAATGTAGTGCGGATATGTTTAATACTTCCGTAGAAATAGAATGCACTGAATTCATTTATTCGTCTGATGAACGAAATATTCAAACAGAGGTGAGACGATATTCTGCCGTGAAACATTCTAAATCTATTTCTACTGAAATTGAATAATTTTGGAAAAATTATTGTTTCAGCTCAACATTCATTGTTCTGATTCTTATAAATTGGCGTTGGTTGGCACAGCCAGTAATCTTGGTCGTTTTATATTTTTGCCAGTAATTGGTCTTTTATCGGACAAGTAAGATATAACTCCTAATTTCACGAATAAAATAATAAATCCGCATAATTTCCTTGCCTGAAGGTACGGACGCTTGGCAGTAGTCATCATTGGAATGGTGTGTGGCAGTTTATTTGGCATAATCAAGTCGTTTGCAACCAGTTATCTAGTGTACATAACGGTGGGTGTTAGAAATGGAAGTGTGTAATAAAATGATCCACAATCATTCCGTATGTTTTTAGCTTGAGTTTCTCGAAGCTTTGGGTACAACGACATTTTCCGGCATCTTTTTGTTAGCTGTTGAATGGGTTAACACAAAATATCGCATTTTCGGAAGTGTATTAGTTTCGCTTTCATTTCCATTGGGTGAAATGCTTTTAGGATTTGTTGCTCTTTATGTTCATGACTACCGACACATAATTCGACTTCTTTACACGCCTGGCCTCCTTATAGTTGCGTACTATTGGATTCTTCCCGAAAGCGTCCGGTGGCTTCTTATCAACGGTCAAGTTGAGCGTGGCATTAAAATTCTGAAGCGAATTGCACATGTTAACGGAAAAGAATTATCTGAAAAGTCAATTGATATGATAAAATCGACATACTCAACCGAAATAAAACTGGAACCAACTGAAAACGGAAAAATTGACAATAATTCGCTTGGTCAATCGCTCAAATTAATAATCAAGTCAAGAAAATTATGCCTAAGATTTTTGAACTGTAGTTTTCAGTGGATAAACTGCTGCTTTTGTTACTATGGAATAAGTTTAATTGCAACGCAAATTCCCGGTGAAAATCGATACATTGGATTTATATTTGTGGTTGGCATTGAAATTCCTGGACTTTTGATTGCAATACCATTATTAAATCGAATGAAACGTAGACTATTGGTGTTTGCTGGTCTCATTGTTACGGCTGTTTCAGTTTTTGCCACTGCTTGTATACCTGCGGAACACTCAACAGCTATTCTACTATTTTTCATGTTGGGCAAATGTTCGATAACACTTGTATTCAATTCAGTGTACATATATACAGGTGATTTCAAAGACAATTCTAATCATACGTGCATAAAACTCATGTTTTTTGGCATATTTCAGCTGAACAATGGCCAACCTGTGTTCGGACTACTTTGATTAATTCATGTTCAATGATTGGTCGAATCGGCAGTATGATTGCCCCAGTAATAGTTATTGTGGTATGATTTTGAATGGTTTGATTGTATTTTCTATTAAATCTCTTTTAATTTTATACTTAGGTCGCACAATATTGTCCATCGGCGCTTCTTTTTGGTACTTCAGCTATTTTGGCAGCTATTCTCATTATTTTCTGTCCAGAAACTTATTCGAAAAAACTGCCGGACACAGTTGATGAGGCCAAGGCTTTGAGTTAACTATAATTGTAAGAATATCAAGTTTAACGTTCAGTCAGCAGGATTATGACTCGAAAGTGTAGATAATACCAAAACATTATTTATAGTTTACAATTCATACACATACGTTTATCATTTTCAATCAAAAATAGGGGTCATATTCGCCATTTTTTGTTTTACTAAATGAAATTATGAAAGAAAATTTTGAAAAATAAACAAAAAAGAGATATGTTTACAACGTATTGATAGTAAGGACATCTTTTTTTGAATTAAAAACTAAAATAAATGCAGTAAGGAAAGGTACCTGTAAGTATTTTCATTGGTCTTTCTGTCTTCGATGCGTTTAAGAATAACATTTATTAAAATTATTGCTGCTAAAATTATTTTCATCACTTTATTGGCCATTGATATTACGTTTTGACATCGGTCACAAAACTGTATTGATTTTACATGAATAAATAATTAATGTTTTCAATGAAAATTTTTCATAGCAAAATCATTCAAAAATTAGTTTCAGCTATTATAAAATTAGTCATCTAATTCAACAATTTCATATGTCCAGGTTGAATATGTAACAAGCTTGTTATTACCCTGGAATTTAGTAAATGTTCCTCCATGGCTAATGAGCTCCTCGGTGTTTGTATACCAACTTAGAATTAACTCATGTTTTGTTAAATTATCATTATCCCACATTTCAATTATGATAGGTGTATTCTTTTTTATTTTTCCCGTCGTATATATTGCATCAAATCTTCCACGTTCCGTGTCTTTAAGGTTAGAAGTAGTTTTCCATTGAATTAATGTACATTAGGGTGTTTCCCATATCTGTAAATAGAAAAATGGTATTTATTAATTTAAAGTAGGCAAAATTCTATGTTAGTTAATGGCATTTATACAACGAAGCGATTGATGTTAGCACTTCCCGAAGCAAAAAACTGTTTTCAAAATCTAATGATACTTACAATGGAAAAACGCTCTGTTTGTACTCCCGCACAGCCATCTCAACCAAATGGGAAATGACTTTTTTTGTGCATAACTAACCCACATATTCGGGATAGCAGTTACGTAACAAATGTTACTTATGATTTATTTTATTTTATTGTATGGTATTGTGATGATTAGTTGGCTGCTATTCGAACTCGGGCTCGGATATGTCCACGTCGTTATCGTCGTCGAAGACGGCGGCATCGGCGTTGATTTGATTCCAATATCGGTTGATTGCAGCAGGTATTGGAAGTCCAAGCAATGTCCATAGTCCTGATTAATCGAAAAAATGAATCTTTTTTTGCGATCATTCAATCACATTGTGTATCAATATCCTTACCTTTCAGTAGAATGTTCTTAGCAGCCACGACGTCACGATGCCAAGTCACGGTGCATTCGAGGTCTAATTGCCATTTTTTGTAGTAAGGTTTTACTCTTGACATTAGCTCCTCTTCTATTTCAAATGCTCCGTTCAATGTGCGTTGTAACTGTCGATATGTAGATGTATCTGTCTTGCCAAACTTAGACACAATTTTGGTTGGCAGCAGTGTTATGGCGTTGGGTATGCACCGACACATCTTGAATTTGGCCGATTTGGGTTGGTTTTGGAATCGGCACATACATCTTGCGTCTGTTTGAGATGTTCCCCATTCGTCCACCGGCACGACAACAATGTATGGTCGCTTCTTATATGCCTGCATCAGTTTGCGTACACCCGGACACCGCACGTGTTTTTTAATTCTTATCGGGCAATCAGGTGGTACTTCGCCATCAGCACCATGGAATAACAGAGTCGGTTCCTTATTGGTGATCTTGTTCACAAATCCGTCGATAACTTTGTTGCTCCCAATGTATTTGTCCAAGGCGAGTCTAGTGTACTTTGCAGTCGAGTAAGCTTCGATTCCATGTTTGGTCATCTTAACTCGATGCTTAATATAGCTCAGCCACTGTGAACCTTTTGGTGATGGCATCATTGCGTACAGCTCACGATTCTCTCGATCTTGTCTTTCTTTCTCGATGAAATTTTTCGTGAATCGCTTCGCTTTTGCGTTTCGTACGTTTTGATGTGTCTCCCAATGGAACTGCTTGCTCTTTTTAACAAAGTTGATCTGCGAATAAATCGAAAAAAAAAAAAAAAAAAATAATTAGTGAACTTAAGCACAATGTGCATCATTGTATTTTAGTATACTACACATACTTCTTTGCAAGTATCAATTTCATGTATTGTTGTGGTATTCCAGTTCCGCATGCCTGAATCTGTACCTCCCAATCTTTTGAATTTGCCCGCCTTCAACATGTCAATGATGTCCAATCGACTGGTGCCCGATTGTGTGTTGCTGGTCTCCTTCTTTTTGGTGGAATACTGCAGAGACACAGCAATTCCATCGCTGTTTATCGAAAAGTCAAATTTCTTTTTGCGGCGCACAAACCACCGAATTTTACGCATATAAAAATACTGATTCCATATGTAATCTTTATTCTCGTTGAAAACCTTTTGTGAAATATTTTTGTCACTTGGTTTTCCGTCTTCAGTTAACTGTTTCGGAATCAATTTTTGAGAAGACAAGATCTGATACATACTCGAACAGTCGATTTTGAAATGCGTACGCCGAAAATCACACATCGGAACTACCACCAAATTGCAAATGCACGGTAGATATTCCAAATCGTCGAGCATTTGTTTTCGTTTGATGATCCACTGTCGTTTCTTACCCTTCGGTCTTCTGCGCTTTCTCTTTTTGCGTTTCTTCGGTGGCTCTTGATGTGCTCGCAGCAAATTAAATTCTTCTATCTCGCGTTGCATAGATAGATACATCGGCACAGCTTTGAACCAATTTTTTGAATTGGTCGTGAGATCATGTAGGTCGATTTCCGGGAACACATTCAACTTATTGACGATGTCATACAAAACTCCGCACCGATAAACTTTATTTGGGTCACTAGCTGGCACTTTGATGACCTTTTTCAATGAAACAAGGGACATAGAATAAATTCATTTTTAAAAAAATATGTCAACGAGTCAAAAAAAAAAAAAAAATAGAATAATAATGAGATTTTCGTGTGTTTTAAATAAATCAAATTAATTTGTTTAATTTTTACTTCAACACACTATTGAATTTATTAGAAAACCCAAATGTACATTTCAGAAGCTATGCTTCCTTCATCAGTGAGAATGTGAAACAAACTGACACAATTTACAAAAATCAAATGACAATAAAAGCAATGATATATTAAATTTTAAATGACCAAAAATGAAATGTATGCTATGTTTTAAATTTGAATCTTACTGAAAATTGAATTTCTATTTGCAAATTCTAAAATGACCCAGAATGAAATGTTTACTATGTTTTTAAAATTTAATCTTACTGAAAATTGAAATGACACGTTAATTTTTCTACGTAAGTGGTTAGAACAGAACAACATTGATATCAAAAAAATTGACGAATATATCAAACTCACTAAATTATGTATGGAAGAAAATTGGTTTTGTTTTAACGGAAAATACTATCGTCAGGAATTTGGATGCTGTATGGGCTCACCATTAAGTCCATTTTTAGCCAATTTGTTTTTGTCAAACTTTGAAACGGAGTTGAGGAAAGAGGGAAGTTTTCCACGCATTTGGTATCGATATGTAGTCACTTTTTGAGGCGAAAATCCCTAGCAAATCGAAAGAATTTTCTCCGCGAAAAACCTTAGCAAATCGGAAAAAAATCTCTCGGAACCAAAAACCCTAGCAAATCTAAAGAATTCTCCTCAATTTTCTACATTGATGAGCTAAAAAAAAAAAAAAGGTCTTCACTTTTTTCATGAAAAACTCTAGCAAATTACAATAATTTTCGCGAAAAAATTTTTCTCATCCAAATCACAGGGGGGGGGGGGGGGGGGGGGGGGGGGGGGGGGGGGGGGGGGGGGGG